GTGGCAGCGTTCCTGACTAGTAGCATTGGGTCATGAACTGAGAACTCTGTGTTTTTGTTTACATATAAAATCCACCTTGTTTTCATTACTAGGCAAAAACCACGGAACATCATGTCAGAAAAGTGACGACCTCAACTCACGTCTGCAGCCTCGCGGCTCCTTCACATTCACCGACGTCGTTCAACGTCCTGCATCTGTGAACGAAGGTTAGTCGATCCACTTTGACACGACCTTTTCCACAGGAAGGAGACAGAACGTCCTTGTTATTGTTAATTGATGACACATTGTTTTCTGAACACCGTTTCCAGAAACTCCGTTTTACTTCCCAAACAGTGCGAGTTGCTCCGAGGTGTTTTTGTTTTCTGTCAACAATAAAGTGTTTGACCGACAACAGCGCTGCAGCATCGAGATGTGGTATAAAAGCTGCATCAACCGGCGGCACGGACTGCAAGACAATGTTGGTCTCAGATGGTAACTTGACTTTATCTGGCAAAAATCTGTGTCTGTGATTGATTGGCCTCTGCCTCCTAAAAAAAGGTCTCCTAAAATACAGAAAAAAAAAGTGCTACAAAAGACAAAAGTTCTGTTGTCTGTTAAATCAATGCATAAAATGTTTTTGTCTTCTTTTTTTTCACAATGACGAGGTCTGATGATGCAGAAAAATTTAAGTTTTTTTTGTGTTTTTCTGTAATTTGTTAATTTTGACATTAATCAACTGGGCTTGTAAAGTCGGATTTGATTTCATGGGGATCCACCAGTAGATGGCACTACTCACCAATGCACGGTGCTGCCCTGAGCTTGACTCTGGTTCGAGGCCTTACATTTTTACAGACCCTCGTAACTTATTTTTGGTGACCAGCGGCTGGAGAGTCAATAAAAAAAAAAAGAAAACAGTTTACAAAACATCTTTTTTTTATTAACTTCTAAGGAATACAGTTGACTGCTGTGCACAGCACATACGTACAAAAATAAAAGGAAAACCATTTCATAATATAGTCTTTTTTTAAATTTACTCGTCATCATATTTGATTTCAGAAACACACGATTGGAGAAGTCTCTTGTTTTGCAAACTAATTTACAATCATTTCAATAATCGGAACTAAGGCAGAAGGTGAGGTATATGTTAAAAAAGAGGAGCGGAGGGTGAGGAGGAGGTGAGGGGGGGGGCTCAAGAGGAAGCACTCACCCCTCAGTGCAGGAATAGAAAACTGAGAGGGAAACACAAAGGCTGCAGGCACACACTGGGACATGTGTAGACAAACAAACACACACACACAGATGATGACCTCTGTCTCCCTGTGAACCAAATATTTACCAAAATAATATACAATAAATACAATATAATAAATACAGAAACTGATGAAACCCAGAAACAGGATCCTCGACAATGAAGGCAACACAAAACTGACCCACTCAGAACTCCATGATCCTCTGGGCAAATTTAAAAAAAAAAAAAGGTTGGACAACAATAACAAAGCCTTCTTCTCCGTTACTGTTGTTTCACAAACAGGTTCTGCCTCCAAGAAACAACAGGTAAACAAACACGGTACGAGAGAGAGAGAGAGCGAGAGAGAGAGAGAAAATTCCCGCGCCTTTGACGTGAACCTGACACCAGAAAAACAACAAAAATCAAGTTCAAATCACACAACACGGACAGGTCACATGTCGCCATGAGTCGCCAGAACTCAGGTTCAATTCATCGTGTGAAACGCAATAAGTTCAAACGGTTTACAAATAACGCAGTCAGTGACAGTGACGGTGTCCTGAGTGGACGTGTCCTGGGTGGACATGTCAGAAGTCTGGTTTCATTCGATTTAATGAAAAATAAATAAATAAATAAGTTGAAACAATGAGCCACAAGAAAATCTGAAACAGAGAAAACTTGATTTTTCTCTACAGTAAATTACATGGCATTTTTGTTTTTGCATAATTTGGGAGATAAAATCACAAAGACGTCAGTCCAAAACTGAGAATTCACACCAGTCCACGCTTTCTAAACCTGTGACCGACACAAAATGGCTCCTGCGGAGAAGTTGATGTTTATGAAAATATATAAATCAAGCCCAAAAACGTCACCCGGATCATAGATCACGCTACGACAGAGTCCAGTTGTTATTAATGATCACAGTATTCTGGAAAACAGTTACGTTAAGTTGACGACCGTTTCCTGGAAGCTTTTGATTCTTTTTGCTTTGTTTTGTTAGTTTTTTTCAGCACCAGCTCAAAACACACCCTCTCTCTCTTTCTCTTGCTCACACACACACACACACACACACACACTCACTCACACGTCTCTCCCTGGTTTTCTTTCTGAGCCTCTTTCTCGTCTTTATCCTCAAGTACATCAGCTCACAGTCAGACAATGCCCTGTAACTCCTGACTCATGGTGAATTTCTCTGATATCATCTGTACTGTAGTCTTGGCAAACACACACACACACACACACACACACCCAGACACACACGCACAATCACTCAACGTGAACGTTGTTTCTGCTACTCGACAAAAGCCTGAGGGCTCTGTAAACGGTTGCTCACAGATTTTTATCATTGCTTTACAGTAAGGTTTGACTTTTAGGTATAAAAAAAACAGTATACGAAGATATACTTGTAGTAGAGCTGTCACTTTTTAGCACAAGTTAACAAATAAGTTAATTACAGGTTGTCTGAAGTAGACGACACGTCGACCAGAGAGTCTACGAAGTGACAAAGAACGCAGTAGCGCTAAAGGAGAACTGATTTGTAACAGAGTTCCAAGGTTGTACAGAATTTAAAGAAATGAGGTGTGGGAACGTGAAGTTCTACGTTCTCCAACATACGATAGCTTCGATATATATTTGAGGTGTGCAGTACCTCTGAGGTTACACTAGAGAATATTCTAGAACTTTTTCTTGTTTTCCAAAGCAATAAATGGAAGTTTGTACAGAGCTAAAATATTTGTCATCTCTTTTTTTAAAATATTTAATAATTTACAACTGATAATGAATGTGGGGATCATTTGTGATTAATTGTTAACTGGGTATAATAATATGATTAATCGTGATTAAATGTTCAAATCCGTTCACAGTCTTAGTACTGATTGACAAAACGACATCGAGCGGCTTTGTGTGTGTGTGTGTGTGTGAACGCCTTCGAGGATCTAAAATGTCACATAAAATAAATTCTTCAAACTTGGCTTTTGGTAAAAAGTGACAGCCCTATTTCTGGACGAGCGTCTCTCTCTGAAGTGCTAGTCCACATAGCTGGCCTGACTGCTGGTTTGCTATTTACAGAATATTGCAGGTCAAGTACACAACGTCAAAATCTTCAAGATCAGTTGCACCTCATTTTAGCTTCAAACAGACTCTGCCATGAATCTGGCAGTACAACAACAACAACGACGACGACAACAACAACTCTCTGTTGTTTCTATTAACACAAAATAAAACATGAAAACATCCTCACTGCTGCAGAGCTGTGTGAAACAACCAGGTGAAGGAGGTGGACCAGGAGTCACAGTCCACAATCCACCGCTTCGACCTTGGGGCTAAAGTTGCTCAGCTGACAGGGACATGAATCCCGTGGCCCTGTGCTGACTGTCCACTCTGACATTAAAGACGAGAGGCCGCGAGTCATACGCTCAGGTATGTTCCCCTGCATTATCCACATCCTTACCAAGTTAAACAAACAACCCCCCCACACACACAAACCCCCCTCCTCGCCACACGCAGGAGTCCACAGACGACCGCACAGCCCTGCTCTCTCCAACGCCGCCTGCCCCGAGACCCTCGTCTCCACCACACAGAAATCTCAGGGACTCAGGAAGCACAAGAATCTGACGGTGGGTCGGAGGACGAGGGCTAGGCAGAAAGTTCAAAGACAGATGATAGAACGTCCCAAAAAAAATTACATCTCAAAGTATCACAGCCTAACCAACTAACCAACTCTTTTTTTTTTTAAACTGTTTTTATCATAACCCGCCACCAGGGTAGGAAACAGATTTTTTGAGAGGGCTATTTTTAAACACCCAGATCATTTGGAGGGCAATTTGATCAAATTCTGAAACTGTCTTTGAGCTACTTTTGTGTTTGTTTTGCCAACATTAGCACACGTTGTACATGGTTAGCAAGTTAGCCCTTGTTTGTTGCTTAACTTCAGCTAATTCTATTGATTTATGACTAACTTTTGGCTTTCATATTCATATTTTTCACCATCAATTTCCTGGCTAATTTTGAGCTAAAAGCTTTGGCACTGCTTAGATTGGGCTACTTTATTAGCCTACAGTAGTAGGTGTAAAACTGCTCTAAAGTAAAGGTGAGAACAGAACATGAGGCAGAAAAAAATGGAGGCGATTTTACATCGTAGCATCTTCGATAGTCGCACCTCGCTGCCTCTAATCAAAGACTCAAAACAATAAAAAATCCAGCAGCTCCTCGCTGCCTCTAATCAAAGACTCAAAGACCAAACAATAAAAAATCCAGCAGCCCTCAAACTAAGTAAATAAACTCGCAGTATATCATGTTAAAACCTTTGCATATTCACACATACAGTACGTGTGCACACAGCTACAAAATCTGCCGAACAAAACCTGGGATTGTCAACGCTCCCTTAGGAGAGGACGTTACGTTATAGCCGTCAACAGGAACAAAAAGCTCCTCCACACGCTCCGAATAACTGACAGACTGACTGACTTAATTGATCTAATTATGGAAGGAAAATAAAGTGGAGACATCTCTGGCCCTCGAGGAATTAGGCCGGCGGTGTCTGAGGGAGCGATGACTTGCGTTTCATTCCTATTTCTGACTCCAGCACCATGTTTCTAACATGCAGGGGTGAAGAGTGCGGGCGCTAGAAAGGAATTCAAGGCACCGCCACCTCATGACAAAGCAAGAAAAAAAACCACCACCATATTTGCAAGTGCTCTAGTTGCCCTGACAGAGACGGACGCCGTCGCACAAAACGACGAGGAAAACGTCCGAGAAATGAAAATAAAGATTCATGCACACATGCACTCTTCTTCCTTTCCTTCTTCATTTCAGGGATTTGGGGCATTGAGGTAAAAAGGGGGAAAAAGTGTCCATAAAAGTTCCAAAAGTAACATTATCCTCCGACAGGGCATAAATAATTCCAGCAAGCACCCATTAGAACAGACAGGGGGCGACAACGCCTCTCCTCAGACCACAAATTAATTTAAAATCATAACAGCAGCAAAGTATGGCATTTCCATCGCGTCCTAACGCAACATACGCTACCCAAATATACATATAAAGATAAAGAATAAATATTTTCAGATAAAACTGTGTTTCTGTCTCTTAAAAGTCCAGTTTTCATTTTTCACGGTGTTTGTACACATACAGTATCAGTGTTACCTGGGAAATAATCCTCATGTGCAAATAAGTGAGTTATTGCCAGTTTCCGCTCGTCATATTCGGGGCAGGAAGTGCGTTACAGTCATGGCAGTGGTGGCCCTGTTGCCCCTCTTTACGCGGCCATGTTTGCTGAGTGCTATGTAGAAGCTTCTGTGCACCAGAGACTCGTAGGCGTTGTAGTTGTTTGCGAGCAAGTTCTCCTTGAACTTGCACTCGTCATGGAAGACTGTCGGGAGGGACACAGAGGGAGAGGGGGGAGGAGGGGGGAGAGAGAGAGAGAGAGAGCAGGAGATTAATGATCGGCCAGGAAGAGAAGAATGATCGGAAACACGGTTATCGTTGACGAATTATTACAGGACTGTTCAGGATCGGTACGTTTTCAAAAAATAAAACTTTATTTATTCTAACTTTATTCTTTAAGACTTAATTCTGTTAGTATCGGAGTCTGAAAGACATATTATTTTGAAAAAGAAAATGTTCTATTAACTTTAAATGAAAAAAGTAAAAGGAAATGACCGGACCTTCTCTAAATTAAGTAAATTAACTCCTTTAATTAATGAATTATTTTCTCTGCAGCCCAACACCAACTGACCTGTGGACCAATACCGGTCCATGTACCAGGTGTTGGGACCCCCCTCTAAAATGATGAAAACCTTTTAATTTTTTTTTTACCAAAGGCCTGAAAACGACATTGACATTTTACTGATGCAGTGTTGTTTTATGTAAAAGTTCACCAACTTTTATATCAATAAAATTTAGTCAGATGGTAAAACTTTTTTTTTAATAATCCAAGGCAGCATAAAAACTGTAACTCAATAGCATGCAATTGCACCTCATCCCTCACTTTGTGAACCAGTGGGGTGATCAACCCTAGACTTTTGGATTTAATTCAGCCAAAACACCTTCTCCAGTATCTAAAATAAATCACCCTTCACCGGCTTCGTCTTGTGACACAGCCAGGAAACACTCACTGCAGACAGTACACGAGTGACACATACTGTGTGAAGTGTTGGTCAGAGACCATTTGGCCTAATTCAATCTCTTATCAGATCATTGGTGGGGCTTTCAGGCCAACGCTTCATCACTCAGGGGCAGATAAGAGGCTCACATTCTGTCTGTCAAATATGTTGGGCCACAGCTTGATAAGCAGCAGCCATGTCTTAGTGGAGGGAGGGGTGAGGGAGTTGATGGGAGGTGAGGGGGATTTCCTTCTATCACCTCCATCACTATATATATAAAGAACTGTACTACACACATCTACAGGGTATTTGCAGTATTCCACGAATACACTCTGAACTCTGGGCAGATTCTCGTCGTCACTACAAATGAAATAAATGTATATTTTTAAAGCAGAATTAAGGTTAAATTTGTGATATGTAGGACTCAAAACCAGTGTCAAACTAGATCTGTAGATGGCAGTAGATTTTGCTGGTAAATACAGGGTTAGCTTAGCTAAGGAAAAATGACTTTTAAATGCTGTTCTATTGTATGGCCCGTTGCTAACTTGCTGCTAACTTGCTGCTAACTCGCCATAAACAAGTGCGCTAGCGATATGTTGCGTACTAGGTAAGCAGTAGTACGCTGCTAACATGCTTCGCTACTTGCTAGCCCTTTGCTACTATCTCGCACGCTACATGTTAGGGCAGCGCTTATACGTTAAAATAAACTTTGAAAGTTTTATGTACTTACTGTAGAAGAATTCTTTCAACAGTATATGCAAATCATTGACAGGATTTAACTATGAGGACAGTGTTCCCTCACTATATCGCGGTTCTCCTTCCGCTCCCTCAGTACAGATTTTGTTTATTCCAATCTCGCGAGAGTTTCGCCACATCGCGGTAATTTTTTTTTAATTATTTCCAATATTTTAATTTTTTTCGTCAGAGAAAAGCATGTTCTAATAAACAGTAAAAATATAGCAAAACAAAACAAAACAAAAAAAAACAAACTAAAAGACATCGCTGGTAGCTTTGTTTACCTAGAGGAGATCGAACACAGCAATGATTCTGTTCCTCACGCTGATTGGCTAATGCATCGTAGCATCTCACCGGCCGGGGCTGCACCTGTCGCCACTTCCGTAGCTGAGGGCTAACCTCCGCCGCGTTGTGTATTTCATTTATTTACGTAATATGTATGTCTTATATTTGTATTATACAACTCTACTGTGCATATAATTGTGTGGGAAAGGGTAATACAGTCCGGGGGGGGGGGGGGTGTTGTTAACAGTGTGGGGGGGGGTCGTCAAGGGTAAATATATACGTAAATAATATAAAAAACTAACTTGCCAATGGAAAAAATAAAATAAAGTTATAAAAAAATCGTGTTTTGGGCCCTTTATAGAAAAAAAATAAAATATTTTTTTGTCAATTATATTCTGTTTTAGAGGAAAAAAACAATGTAAAGCACCGGAGAGTGTCAGCCATCTTTAGTTATCAGTTATTCCTGAAGAAGCTTTGAGATGATCGACTAGAACATGTCGGCCCACAGAGAAGAGAAGATTTACATAAGTATCTATTAAAAAAAACAACAACATCCAGTTCACTTAGCAACACAGCATAGCCTAGCCATCAATAAAGTTTTCGTGGAGAGCAACAACAAGAGAATCCATCCCACCACCCTCCAGTTGAACAACAACTGGCAGGATCCCCATAGGGCCACAGAGCTAAAGTACAGGGTTCTCATGAGGCAAACGGAATATGTCAACATTTTCTTTGACTGTATCAACGTAAGGGCGATAGCCTTGACAATAGTTTTCTTTCAATAAAAAGGGGGCGCTGCAGTAAAGGTTTGGGTACCACTGCTGAAAGGCAACAGCGGGAACACTCTTCCACTACAGTATTAGTTGTTTAAGTAGAAAATATTTTCTTTTTCCTTTACAATGTTTAATGGTATAAAACAATGATTATACTATATATTTTACTCTTATATATATATGTAAATATATAGTGTGTATATATATATATATATATATATATATATATATATATATATATATATATATATATATATATATATATATATATATATATAGTACTATGCCCTTATCTGAGAGTTTTTTTTGTTGTTGTAGTGAAACTCTGCCTCTGCTGCTCCCACTGTGTGAGTCTTCACTGACTTTTGCTAAATCAGCACTTTGCCCTTAAAAATCGATTTTCATCTCTGCTGACAGAACCCTGTGTGTCGGGGGTTTCCCTTCTCTCTCTCTCTCTCCCTCCCACGTACATACACGCACGCGCTCACACGCACGCGCCCACACGCACATCACAGGCGTGCGAACCAAACCTTGCATCTGTTAACCTCATCATTATTTACCCATAGGCCACTGCAGGCGCACCGGCTTTAAATAGAGCATCACGCCATTTAGCCACGAAATCAAAATCTATAGGGAAGCATTGGCTGACAGGTTGAACAAATCCAGGCTATTGGACGCTGCCAAACGTTTGTCCTTAGACTGGCAATAAATGAAAGTGTGCGTGTGTGTGTGTTTGTGTGTGTGTTTGTACACCTACCGTTCCGTATAACCTTCCCCGGCTGTTCATTGCGACAAACAACTCACTCCTGACACCATAGAGACTCACGACTCCTCTCTCCACCGTGGAGATCTCTATCAGACCTGGGGGGGGGGGGGGGGGGGGGGACGAGATGAAATGACATGACATTAGATCAAATCAACGCTCATCATAAATAATAAACACAAACTCCGACCCGTGATCGTGTGACGACTCTGGGCTTTGTGCTGCCCCCCATGCGTCTACATGGGTGTAGCCGTGCCCTCGGCCCTTTTGTTCTGCATCTGTCAAAACCATCATTCATGCGCGCATCTGCGCCTCCTCCACACCACAGGTGCACCGTGTGGCCGCGGCGCATCATTACAGCCACGGGGTTATAACTGTAAAGTCATTTTCTGACGATCGCGTTGACGCGTGACGCGTTTTCTTACTATGTAATCGGTCCGTGGACCGCCCTCAGAGGAGGGCCGCGTAAAAATAAGTTGTGTCTAAAAGCGTCCATACATTCATGACATGGTTGAGCCTGGTGGAGAGGGGGAGGAGAGGAGGAGAAGAAGGAGGAGTGGTGGTGCAGGGTGTTCAGTAAAACTGATGGATCTTTGATTTCTTAAAATTTAAGGTGGAATAAATCCGGTACTTTCCATGCAAATGAATATAGAGGGAGGTATGATTATTATTATTATTATTATGGTTATTATTGTTACGATTTTTTTTTATTATTATGATCACCATTACTTGTCACCCATGCTTGTTCTCTCCGCATCACTCTTTGAATGTCTATGGCGTGAACACGGGTGCAGGTGCAGTCACTCACTGTACTGGTTTTCATTATGTACACCGTTTATCCTGCCGTCGGGGAGGATCTGAAGGTGAAACCCGATGCCCACGTTGCAGTAGAGCCTCCGCACTCTCTTGATGCCCAGCAGATAGTCACTCTCCCAGTTCAGCTCCGCTCTCTCCCCGGAGATCCCCAGCACGGAACGGGAGAAGAGGGTCTCCCAGCTTCTCTCCAGAGAAGTTGCATTCGTCCTGACGCCGCCCGGTAGCGGATACGCTGACACGAGTCCCAGCACGAAGCCCAGGAGGAGCACCGCGGTCAGCGTCCAGTGCGTCGTGCCGGCCTCACAGGACATACTGACGAGGTACCTCTGCGCAACGGCCATCCGGTTTACCTTCGGACCAC